TTTTATCTCCTCTCCTGTATCCAGGTCTCTCTTTCACTCCCTTTTCTTTTTCTGTCCCTGGATATATTTGGGAAGGGGGAGGCAGTCTTCTCTGCTGTGCTCATACTTGTACATTTCCTCCTCCAGAGAGCCTTCGATCAGGATCATCAGGGTTGGGGTCCTTCCCTGTGGTAGCTCATATGCTCTCGTGTGGTTTAAGGACCTGGGCTTACATCACGTTTGCATTAAGCCCTTTACTGTGCCCCACGGGCTCCAGGGCTTTCCCTGTAACTCTGAGGACGGAGATTTTGTTGCACCCTGGGCATAAGTGGCAGAGTGCTGGGCCCATGACCCAGAGGCTGATGGACCGAAACCAAGCTCCGCTATGGCCCTGTCTTTTCTGCCACGTGGGTTTTTAAAAAACTGATAATTAATTATTTTATGGATTTTTTCTATTCCTGTACAAATTCTCTCCAGATCCTTTGGCTTTTTAGCCACATAAAGTTGTGGCTTTCAGTTTTTGCCTCCATCTGATTATCCCTAACGGGGACCTTCTGGGTGGTTGCTGGGAAAGGCCTGGGTGCCGGTGGCTCACCTCGTAGGCAGCTGCCTCTTCCTCCAGGGAATGTCAGTTGGCTCCTGGAGTTGGGGTCCACAGCCAGTCAGGTGGTTTTATCTGTAGCCTGGGGGCCGGGGGGCCACCGAGCCCCACAGCGATGAGATCTGCCCTTTGCCCTGCGGGAGAGCAGCAGCACTAAGCAAAGCCCGCTGCACTGGATGCCTCCTCCCCTTTTCTTTCTTCGTCAGAGCCTGGGCCACCACCTGCCACGGCTCTGCACCTCCTGTCCTGGGGGGTCAGGAGAACACACGGGCTTCAGAAGGGGAAGCGGCAGCTTAGCGGACAGGCAGGGTCACTACCCTTGCCTGAACAATGGCAACCAGGGTGGAATTCCCCCTGGGGTGGTGATTTCCTTCCTTTCTGCAGATTTCACAGAGGGTCATCCCCGCACCTGTCCTCGTGGTGCACACTCACAAAAACTGTCTGTATGTCTGCCCCATGTGGCCAGTGATGTCACTAGGCTAGATGCAGCGCTCAGGGAGCTCTTGCCTGAGCCTTGTTACGTGGGGCTTAAGCAGCAGCCAGCTAGAGCTGCACTACCACCGCCCTTCCAGTGGGCGCCTCCTGCCCAGCACAGGCCGAGCCCAGCAGCACGCCACGCTGGGGTCTCATCGGTTCACAGCACTTTTCTTTTCTTTCTTTTTTAATTTCAAAGTCTTACAGGGGCACAAATATTTTTGGTTGCATGGATCACTTTTATAATGCTGGAGTCGTGGTTATAAGTCGCAACAGTATTCATCTTGGGCTGGGAGGTGGGAAGAGATAGCAAACACCCAACAAAGACAACACAGCACCTCGCGGGCCAAGTGCAAGTCTGCTGGCAATTGGCGGCTCCATCCCAGGCGGCCTACACTGTTATAAGTGAAGTTAGTTAGCCAGGAGCAGTTAAGTAAATGTGCCAAATGTCCCCAGTCATGGTTGGGTCATCCTGTTCATGATGCCAGTTTTGATCACCTCCTCCTCACCCCACTGGTAAGGGAGGGTCCTGTGCTAGGATGACGGAGATAGCCAGACACACACACCGACACTGGGTAGATGAGATCGACAGCAGTTTCTGAGTCATATATACTCATAGCTTGGGGGAGGAGGACACTGCATGCCACTCGGGGCCACACGGATCTTGTACTTGGGAACGGAGTGAACAGCCATGGGCCAGGTGAGACAAGCATTGTAGTATCCAAAGAGTAGGGTACCCCTGTTCCCGCTGGAGGACGCGATTGGCCTGTTTGAATAATTCCGTGGCTGGCAGGAAACTGAAACCTGCTACTCTAAGATAAGCAGGAATTGTGCCTAATCCTTGATAAGGAGCATTGTTTAGCAAGGGACTTTATCCTTGCTAGCAGAGGTGGTGGGGAGACTTGCAGTTGGGCCCTCCTGATTTTACTAGATGTCAAGGCAGCCCCTGATATGGCGCCTTAATTTTAGGTCCTGTGGCACAGGGTGTGTTCTTTCTTTATCAAGCTTTGTGTCTTTTTTCCCCCCTAGCTGAGGAGTGTGATACAATTACTTTGACCTGCCCACCAAATTCTGATATGCAACATCAGGTAAGAATAATTTCAACTATATATTTATCCTCAGGCACGTGATAATCCACCTGGAATTTTGGAGGAAGTATCTTATAGAGCTTTAAAAATAAAGAATGAAGAACAAGATTTCCAGATAATAAGTTTGAAAATGATCTCTAAGCAGCCCAGTAAGGTAGCACATCTATAGAACTTTTGTTACTTCTAATAACCATGGTAGCTTTAGTCCATTCTTTGAAATTAATACTGATCTACATGTTAAGACTAGAAGGCCCATGCTAGTGAATTAGAAAGGAGAGTTGCTTTCTTTCCTTTGCAGTTGGTATGCCGTGGATGGTTAAAAATTTTTTTAGGACACAACAAAACTAGATACTGTAATAACGTTTTCATAATGGTTTATGAAACCTTTATTTATTTATCTGGATAACACACACCAAACTTTGACATATTATTTCTATTGTCTTTTTAAAAAAACAGATATGTTTATTGTGTTATGGTTATAAAAGAATGTTTATTATTTTAAAGTTCAGATTATGCAAAAAAAAGCACAAAAAATATATTGAGAATTGCCTGTCATTCCACTGTTCACCTTTTGATGGACATCCTTCCAGAGGCTTCCCTGGGTCACCATGTGCTTCAGTTACTCCTTGCATTGACCAGTCCACCTGTATTCACTCACTCAAAGCTCATTAGCAAAATTGCACAATACCTCACATGTGCTAACCTCTGTTTAACATGTTAAATGTCTCAGAAAGCATGTCTTGCCTCAAGATAGGCTGGTTCGGTTCTCTTCCTTCTATAACACCAAGTTAATTTTTAACAAAGTTTTGTTTAATCTTGCTTTAAAAACATCAATATGTAATAAAACATTAATAACAATATCTCTGAGTTGTCAAATCACCTCTGTTGATAAAATAAGCAGTTTTAATTATGACATACAACTCTTGAAAATTGTCAGTGGTGCTACTTTGACATTTATTTTGGGGAATCTTCAGTCATGGACTGTGAATATCAAACTCTTATTCTTTTTCCTTGGAATTATACTCTAATGATTGGCTTCTGCACTGACTGAATTTAAACTGTTTTAGTAAACTGAAAGTGTAAGTTTTTCCTTTCTTGTAATTCTAATGTCTTTAACAAAATTTTTCTCCTCACAGTTTTTGCAACATATAGACTCCCTTGAAGATAAAAGAATGCTGCACTGTTCATTTAGTTTACTCTTAGGGATTTTCCAAAACCACTTAAGATTAGGTACAGAATACACATTAGCACACTGTTCGGCATTTCGGTGTTATAATTCTGGCTATATTAAGTAAAGACTATCCTAAAAGATGAAAATATATTTATCAACTGAAAAAGGGTGGGAAAGATCCAGTTAAGATTTTTTAAGTTCTATTTTAAAACAGAATATCTTCTATTCCTATACAAAGTAGGACTATAAGCTAGCTACTTCAATTGGATTTTTCTTTGTATAATCTATAGGATTTATTTTAACTGCTAATACTCAGAAAGATTCTTTGAAACCAACTTGGCAGTTAGAACAAAGAAAACTCACTAGGGAAGAATCGTTTAAAAGGAAAAAAACCCCACACTCCATTTTCTATAGTTCAAACATTAGGAGCAAGCTGGAAATAGGGTCTTTAGAATATTTATTAACTGCCCTTGTAGTGATTTTTATATTTTAAGAACTAACATCCACTTCTACTAAGGCTTAATTTCAGCTTCCTTTCTTTGAATGATGCAGAGGAAAAACACTGTAGAGTCCTAGTATCAAAAATTAAAGTCTGACATCTCAGACAGAATTTCTTTTTAATTTTTTTTAGAGACAAGGTCTCACTTTGTTGCCCAGGCTGGAATGCCGTGGTGTGATCATAGCTCACTGCAGGCTCTAACTCCTGGGCTCAAGCGATCCTCCTGCTTTAGCCTCCAGAGTAGCTGGGACCACAGGTGCACGCCACTGCTCCCGGCTCAGACAGAATTTCATAAAGAACTCTTTACTTCTGGCCATTTAAAATCCACACTCCTTCTACTAGAACTATTCTACTCTTACAATGAGTTATGACTGGTATTTATTGAACATATATTCTGAGAACAGATCTGGACTGGGAATTCTTGGACATTATAAAAAGGCAGGAGAAGGAGGAGAGAGATAAAACCCCAGGCAGAGTTTACAGACTTGTTGGAGAGGCAGTGCACACACAGTTAGATCTTAGGATGTGAGTACAGCTCAGATATTTAAACCATAAACATTTCCTGAGACCTTTATCAATCAATAAAGTTTTAGCCACTTTAACTGTATGTGCAGGCCTATGGCACATGACGGTAAAGCAAAAACGTGTTCCAGTTTGTAGCCAAGGATCCATTCCAAAAGGAGTCTGAAGTCGTAAAATAAAAATAAGGAAAATAATGAATGTTAGGATGCCTAGTTGGAGTTAGAGGTTATGGAAAGAATGACATTTTTCTTCTGTTGTTTATTTGGTTTTACAAAACAAGTTTTGTTTTGTTTTTTTTTTTAAGTTTTAGGCTCTATATTAAGTTATTGGCTCATTTAGTTGTGACAAAAGTATCACATTAATGTAGTATGTTAATAATAAGAGAAATTGGGTGTATGGTATATAGGAATTCTGTATGCTATCTTCTCAAATTTTCTATATATCTAAAACTATTCTAAAATAAAAAGTTTGCTTGAAAAAGCACACTAAATAAAATTTTGATTCTAGATCGGTGAAAACACTCATCCACAATTCCACCACTCTCATGCAACTGTTTTCACTTTGATGAATTCTTTTATACACATAATTATAAAAACTACAAATAATTTTATATTATTTTATATCCTGCTTTTGTTATTTGATTTCTCAGCAACATTTTACACAGTCTGCTGTATGGTCACGCTGCTGTCATGGTCAAGGGCAACATGATATGAGCATCTCTGACACAGAAATAGATTCTGTTAGCATAGGTAGGAAAGTAAGAGGTGAACGGAGGAAGTATGTAACGGGCAGTGTGAACAATGCTGAGTAAGAAACATACTGTAATAGTAGCAAGATAAGGTAACCGTAAGTGTCACAAGAAACATAACAGGAGCAACACAAGGCACATTATACGACATTACCGCTTGCCCCCTCCGCCCAAGTGGGCTTTGGGTGCCACGACACATCCAGGCCTAACCATATAAGATGAAAAATTCCCCTGCCCATTGGTTAAAAAAAGGGGGGAGGAGACAATGTCACAAAGGAGGAGAGACCAGACAGGAGAAAAAGGGATGGCTGACACAGAATCCCTGGGGCCATGATCCACTAGGACATATGCCCCCTCTTAACCCTGAAGAATGCACTTTAGCTTCAGTAAATGCTTTCACTCTGCTTGCAACACATTCTTTGTTGCTCACTTTCGTTCTTCGATCTCGAGAAGGCAAGAACCGAGGTGTTCACATCAACCTTGGGATTCCAGGTGCAGCCAGTATCAGATTCTGGGATGTGCATCTGAGGGCCAAGATGAAAGCCCCCCCAATAGATGGAATGGTATAGACAGAATTTGTGACAGAGTGAACTTTACTGGGAGATCTTAGGTGTTGAGTTGGGAAGGTAAGTTGGGGTCAGAGCCCCAGAGCCTTGAATGTCAGACAGGGGCTGGTGGAAGATGAGGGGGGCACTGAATTGATGGTCTCATGAACATATCTGGGACCCCAAGGGGACTAGAAGGAAGATGAGACTAGGTGTTTAGCCTGTGCCTGGGAAATGGTTGCTATTAATAATATCAGTAGAGAATTCAGGAAGAAGATGAGATTTGTGTGTTGTTAAAATTGAGTTTTGTTTGTTGGTTGGTTGAGAAAGAGGAGATAAAGGTTTGTGGAGTTTAGGGTATGTAAGATTTGTCATACCAGTGAGACAGCTTGGGAAAACGCCCCGTAGGTGGTAGAAAACTCAGCTCTAGGTATTGGTTTAGGATTCATGCATTGGGAGGTTATAGTTGAAGTCCCAGGAGTGGATAAGATTGGTAAGGAAGACAGTCCTTGTAGGAAAGCAAAGAGGAGGACCAAGATGGAACCTCGAAGAACACCTAATTTTGCAGGCCAGAGGAAGGTAAGAACTCAGAAGTAGCCAGAGGAATAGCCAGGGAAGAAAGCCAGCTGTGGTCAGGGCACTGCATGGCACTTGTGCTCGTTCATAATTATATGTTTGCTGATTGTTTCATTGTCTCTTCCACTGGTTAGACTGTGCCCCTGAAGGCAGGGACTCCTGTGTCTTTTTGTTCATAATTATATCTTCAATGTCTGGTACATGGTAGGTCTCAATAAATATATATTGAATAAAGAGAGAAAAAATGCCAGGGAGGACATTGCCTTGGGGGCCGGGGAAGGAATGGTCACCACCCTCAGGAGGTGCAGTGTGGTCGAGGGTGAGGACCACAGAGACAGTGTTGGATCTGTCCATTCACGTGTTACCGGGACCCTTTAGGAAGGGAATCAGTCATGTGGACAAAAATCCACTTGTGAGAGTTAAGGAGTGAGTATGAGAAAGTTTATGCAGTTTTCTCAAGATATTCATAAGGCAGCAGAGAAATATTAAGCTGTTATTTGAGGGTGTTGAAAAGTACAGAAAAAAGCTTCTTTTTTTTTTTTTAGGATGGAAATTCATTAATACAAAGATAAGAAATCAGCAGGAGTAGATAGATTAAAATAATAGACAGAAGAGGGATAATTAATGGAATTTGTTTTCTCTGTAGAAGGTAGAGGAGGTTAATTTTCTTAGCAAATATTTCTTAATAACATATTTAGGAATTTTGTGGAGAACACAGAGCACATGGATTTCCCTCAAGGAATTTGTAATCTGGAGGGGAAGATAAGATATATGCATGTATAATTTTGATAAATACAGTCATCAGAGACACAGATAGATGAATTAGCATTTTAAAAGTAAGAACCTAAACTTTCAAAGGCTGGACTACAAGAAGCTTGGATGGGGAAAGATACAAATACTCTCTTCAGATGTAAAGGCAGGAAGTTGGGTTAGTTGGTG